CCCTACCTTCCCTCTGAGGTTTGACGGTCTGATGGATGGTTCTCTGTCTCTGGATCTGTTTTTGTTCATCAGTTTATGTTGTTCATTATATTCCACAAATGAGTGAGATCATGTGATATTTATCTTTCTCTGACTGGCTTATTTCACTTAGCATAATGCTCTCTAGTTCCATCCATGCTGTTGGAAGTGGTAAGAATTCCTTCTTTTTTACTGCAGCGTAGTATTCCATTGTGTAGATGTACCGCAGTTTTTTAATCCACTCATCTGCTGATGGGCACTTAGGCTGTTTCCAAATCTTAGCTATGGTAAATTGTGCTGCTATGAACATAGGGGTGCATATATCCTTTCTGATTGGTGTTTCTGGTTTCTTGGGATATATTCCTAGAAGTGGGGTCATTGGGTCAAATGGGAATTTCATTTTTAGTTTTTCGAGGAACCTCCATACCATTCTCCATAGTGGCTGCACCAGTCTGCATTCCCACCAGCAGTGCACGAGGGTTCTGTTTTCTCTGCATCCTTGCCAGCACTTGTCGTTTGTTGATTTGTTGATGATAGCCATCCTGACAGGTGTGAGATGGTACCACATTGTCGTTTTGATTTGCATCTCTCAGATATTAGTGATTTTGAGCATGTTTTCATATGTCTCTTGGCCTTCTTTATGTCCTCTTTTGAAAAGTATCTATTTAGGTCCATTGTCCACTTTTTGATTGGGTTGTTTATCTTCCTTTTGTTAAGTTGTATGAGTTCCCTATAAATTTTGGAGATTAGGCCCTTATCAGATATGACATTGGCAAATATGTTTTCCCACACAGTGGGTTTTCTTGTTGTTTTGTTGATGGTTTCTTTTGCTGTGCAGAAGCTTTTTATTTTGATGTAGTCCCATTTGTTCATTTTCTCTTTAGTTTCAACTGCCCTAGGAGCTGTATCAGTGAAGAAATTGCTTTGGCATATGTCTGAGATTTTGTTGCCTTTGGATTCTTCTAGAATTTTTATGGTTTCCTGTCGTACATTTAAGTCCTTTATCCATTTTGAGTTTATTCTTGTGTATGGTGTAAGTTGGTGGTCTAGTTTCATTTTCTTGCATATATCTGTCCAATTTTCCCAACACCACTTATTGAAGAGACTATCTTGGCTCCATTGAATGTTCTTTCCTCCTTTGTCAAATATTAATTGAGCATATTGGTTCGGGCCGATTTCTGGGTTCTCTATTCCAAATATTAATTGAGCATAGTGGTTTGGGTCAATTTCTGGGTTCTCTATTCTATTCCATTGGTCTATAAGTCTGTTCTTGTGCCAGTATGAGGCAATTTTGAGAACATTGCCTTTTAATACAGCTTGATATCTGGTATTGAGATCCCTCCTACTTTGTTCTACTTTCTCAAAATTGCTGCAGCTATTCAGGGTTTTTTTTTTATTCCAGATGAATTTTTGGAGAGTTCGTTCTAGGTCTGTGAAATATGATGTTGGTATATTAATGGGGAGTGCATTGAATCTATAGATTGCTTTGGGTAGTATGGACATTTTAATGATGTTGATTCTACAAATCCATGAACACAGTATGTTCTTCCGTCTGTTTATGTCTTCCTCTATCTCTTTTTTCAGTGTCCTGTAGTTTTCTGAGTACAGATCTTTTACCTCCTTAGTTAAGTTTATTCCTAGGTATCTTAATTGATTACTTAAATTTTTAATACAGTGGGGCCTTGACTTACGAGTGTCCCGACTAACAAGTTTTTCAAGATACGAGCTGTCTCTCGGCCAATTTTTTGCTTTGAGTTGCGAGCTAAAATTCGGGTTACGAGCCAGCTTCAGATACCCCACCGCTAGTTGTTGCAGCAAACATCACAGTGAACGCCACAACATCAGCCCAGCATCACGTGTCTCACTCGTTCACTTTAAGATTTGACATACGAGTAATTTGAGTTATGAGCTCCGTCACGGAACGAATTAAACTTGTAAGTCAAGGCTCCACTGTATAACATTTCCTCCCTTTTATTTCATTCATTTATTTATTTTTCTTTTTAAAAATGAATATATGGAAAAGAAACTAAAGAAAGTAAGATTCATGCTTGAAGTTTGTTCACAATCCTTTACAGTCTATGAATATGGCCCAGGGGTTAATGAATTTCTGTCTGATAATTAGGCAAACACTATAAGTTTAGGTTCTTTCCACTTGAGTATAGGCGATAAATTAAACACCAGTCAATCATTTGACATTTACTTTTAAATTATACAGTACCACAGCATTTATAGAGCATTCTTATCCTTGCAGTGCTGCAATATGTCAGCAGGTGGAGGATATCCCATCTTCAGAACCATGGAATTTGAGGGTTTTGATTTCTTTGAGGATACTTAGGGTTTGTGATGACATGTGAAGAAACTAATTGAGGAACTATACCCTATAGTATTATTCATATTTGTTGTTTTTCTCTGTTAGTGGTAGAACTGATCAATGTCTGAGAATGAATCCCTCCCAGTCAAAAGGCAACCATGATTCCCTATTTTTACTTCCTTGTTCTGAGCACTAGATGTCACACTAAGTAAAGTTTTAGAAGTTATTCTTCAAAGTGGGGTGTGGTGTACAGTGTAAAGCCTAGTTATGAAAGACCATCGCTTTATGTTTCTAGTAGAATGTAGTAAAGGTGTACTTTCACTAACAAAAGAATTCAGAAAAAAAGAACTATTCATCAGAATATATCATTGGAAGAACCTTAAATATGTGCAGTATAATTACAACTCAATAAAACTGTGTGTGTGTGTGTGTGTGTGTGTGTGTAGTTGGAGTAGCAGCCTATTGTCATATCTGTTAAACAGACACACCCCATTGAAATGCACATAAAGATGGTATTTCCTTCCAGAAACAAAGCAATTTTTCTAGAGACAGCCCATGCACACATATCCGTGATCATTTGTTTTCTGAGGTGGTGAGAAGCTGTTCTTCTCTAGGAAGAGAATCAGACATGGTCCTAACCTGCAAAGGGTGGAAAAGGTGAAAGAGGAGATAATGACAGTGAGGTTTAATAACCCCCTACTGGTCTCAGGGAATGAGGTGGAATCATCTTTCTTACACGGCTTGCGCAAAGAAGCTGTAACAGATGTGCCCCAGCCTTCTCAAACTCATTCATTCCTTGATTGTAGCTCTCAGAAATCTAGGTGAGAAGCATAGATTCCTATCTGCGTGTGCACGATTTCCTTTCTAACAATATGTATTTTTTAAAAGATGGCAAGGAATATGGACTCCGTATGTAAATAAGTTAGATGGTTATGTTCTGTAACTTAAATGTGTTACTGAAACGCCAATAAGTTCCCATTGAAATGCTTGGGATTCATTGGAAGCTGGAGAGAATTAATTCAAGGCTTGGTTTTGGCAGTTACAGTGCATCTTTTTCCCCCCAACGTAACTCAGTAATGAATTTGAACTGCATTTAATGATCTGCACATGAATATAGACACATATTTCTGCATGTAATTAGTGTTACAAACATTGTAGATAATATTTCAGGGTTTTCTAGATCATGTATAATGATAGGTGATTCCCACTGGGTATAATTAGTCCTCTGTCTGTTTGGTAAGTATCAGTGTCCTAATTATGTTCAGATAGCTCTGATGAAGTTACAACAAATACAATACTACTATTTGGGTTTGGGGTTCAGCCTTGTCCTTCTCTTAGTCAGTAGGTGGATAATGGATCATTTTAATAGTGCCTTCCAAGACCAGGTGGTTCTTTTTGGCTCTAAGTCCTGGCATGACTTGGGATCTTCCCTCCCCAACCCCAACCCCCGCCCCCGTATATTAATATTGCTGCTGCCTTGGGTTTTAACAACCTGAGGTTGCCCTGATCCCGAGTGAAATCTATTTCTCCCAGAGTGCTCGGGGGACGTGAGTGCTGTGATGATGGCAGCTCATGCTGTTTCTCCTTCAAGAACTAAACAGCCACTTAAGAGCGTCAGGAGATTTTTGTTGTTGTTGGATTTGGGACTCTGAGAAAAGCTATAGCTCATCAGGAAGGCCTCTAATGAGAAACAGATAAAGCTGCAGAATAAAATGTAGAAAGGAATACAGGGTGTCCAAAAAATGTATACATGTTATAAAGGCAGCGTTTATTAAAATATATTTCATTTTCAACATGTAATAGAATCTACAGCTATCAGCTGTTAAAGTCTGTATACATTTTTAGGGGACACCCTATATTTATCAAGCCAAGGGAGAGTATGTGTGTGTGTATATGTGTGTGTGTGTGTGTGTGTAGAGAGAGTGTGTGTGTGTGTGTTGGGGGGGGGGGGGGGCATGAGAAGGTCAGCTCTGTATTTACCAAATAGTTACTGAATACCCACTGTGCTGGGTCCAGGAGAGAGAGGTTCTGTCCCTGCTCAGATGGAGTGAAGCCAGTGCCCTTCATCCTGGCTGACTGTTCTTAAAGCTCGTGTTTAGACTTACTGTCAAGACAACTGTCAGAGTGGTCGGGTGCCCTTCCTGGTTTTCCCACTGACCTGCCTTTTGATTTTGACACATGGGCTCCAACCCTGCTCTCTCCATTCTAAAGGAATGACCAACACGTGGAAAGAGCATGTTCAAGCTCAACTGATTTCCATTCACCAAATAGCATTGGAGCACCTGCCATGGGCTGGACCTGCAAGGAATCAAATAATGAATCAAATACTATTCACAGGTCATATCTTTGGTGTGGGATGCCAGGTTGCTAGTTAGACAGTGTATGAAGCCACGTGGAATAATAAAGCATCTGGGAGCACTTCACATCTGTCTCTCTTATCTGCTCCTTGCAATAACCCAACGAAGAAACTGAGTCACTGAGAGATTAGGAAACTTCTCCAAGGTCACCCCCAGGCAGTGGTGAAGCTGAGCTGGAACTGGGACCCACATCTGAGTGATTGCAAAGCCTATGCTGTCCTCCACCACCCCTGCTTACAACCACTCTGGGAGATGAGCTCTAGAATGGGAGGATTTCTCTTGTAGCCATGAACCATATCTTCATTTCCTGATAGGTCACGGATTGACGGCGGTCAAGGAAAAAGCAGGGGCCCTACGGATTCATAGTGTAAATTCTGGCTCTTCCGAAGGGGCCCAACCTGACACCGAAAATGGCGTCCCTCCAGGTGAGTGAGGTATTAATCTGGGGGCTTCTTGGACTTGGGCTGTATTACACTCGATGCACAAATAAGAAGATTTCAGATCAGTGAAATGAACTGTGAAACAATCTTTTCTCTCTTTAGCAGCAGAGGCGGCCCCAGATCAGAGCCCTGAGGAAGGCCCACCCACTTCTCCGTCATCGGGGTCCCGGGGCATGCTGTCAGCCATCACCAATGTGGTTCAAAACACAGTGAGTCCTTCGCTGCTTCCTGTTTTCCCTGGAGTCTCCCGGCGCCTTCCTTTGATATCTCTATTTACCAGTGACCTAGATACATCAGAGCAAAGATGGCCTGGCTCACAACTTTGGATGGCGGTTTTGTTATGCTTTCTCCTACTGAGTAGGCATAAACCTTGGAACCAAAATAATAAGGGCAAAACGAGATGCATTTTCTGTTTAAAAGAAAGGAGCTGTTTAAAAGGCACATTTCTCAGTCTGATGTGACGGTCCTCCAGCTGCTGCAAGGACAGCATCTGGCTGCAGGGAGAGAGGGCTGGTTCTCAGAGCTGGGACAGCTGTTTTCCCTCAACGCTCTGTGCCCTTAACCTTCCATTTGGAATATCATAAAGCCACTTAAATAAAAACAAATTCTGGTAAAGAGTCAGGAACAACATCCCCAAGATGTTCCTAAAGCGCTTCCAGATAACTAAGACCCACACTCTCCCCCCATTCCCACCTCCCCATTCCCACTCTCCCTTCCTCCAAGAACTCAAAGTCTGTCCCCCCACTCACACCCCTGGCTGGGGGGAGGGGGCCGCCTACCTCTTAAAGAAACTTGTTATTGGCAACAAAACAGATGACTAATGAAAAAGGCGGGAGGTACCCCAACTGAGGTCACACTGTTCAGAACGCCGTGCAACTTAAAACGTATGAATTGTTTGACACTGGAATTTTCCATTTAATATTTTTGAGCTGCCGTTGAACGCGGGTAACTGAAACCTTGCGAAGTGAAACCACAGGTTGGGAGGTCACCATGTTCTCTTTTCCCAAGCTCTGGACACCCCCACCAGGGCTGCTCTTATTCAAAGTCCCTACGACCTTCCTTCTCTCATTTTATTCTCTACTTTAGTAACCCCCCATAGAATGTTAGAAGGAAATAAATCAAATATACAGAAGTATGAATGGCCAATATCCCAGTCCTCCCAAAGTATGTGTATTTTAAGATGTGTTTTATAGTGTAATTATTGATTTGCACCCAAATCTGGAAACAAGTCTAAATGTCCAGGATGGAAATGATGGATAAAGCATATTAACTCAGTGAAATAGAATATTGTTATTGAAGTGATCATTATGAAGATTGGGAAATGCATGCAGGTAATCTATACTAATAAAAGGGTATACGCTAATTAGACCAGGAGACCTTCCCGACGTCTTTCTGGACAAAGCCATGGTGGCGGGGCTGAGGCAGAGGTGGTTAGGGGCTATCAGGCCAGGAGGGGAGGGCAGTTGGGGGTGATCAGGCCAGCGGGGTGGGGGCAGTTGGGGGCGATCAGGCCAACAGGCAGAGGCTGAGAGGGATGTCCCCCGAGGGGTCCCAGATTGGAGAGGGTGCAGGCTGGGCTGAGGGACACCCCCCCATGCACAAATTTTGTGCACTGGGCCACTAGTAATGTAATAATAAAATATAATGTATATAAATTCAGGTAAGGTGGGAAAAACACAGGTATATGCATATTGTAATTGCAGTTGTGTAGACGGAGGGTATATGCAGAAGTTGCAAAGACTTTAAGCAGTTCTGTTTATATGAATAGTTTATGTGAGAAAGATGATTGTTTTCATCTTTTTTTTTTTTTTTAAGGAAAACAGTGACTGACAAAGGGATTCACAAGAGGATAACTATATAACAGAACAGTGTCTAAAGCCAGTAGTATATGGAAATCAGCCTGTCTTAGTTCATGAATATACTAATCGTAGGCAGTTATTACTCGTTTCTAAAAGTATGGAGGAGCCATCTGAAACAGCCTAAGGCTTCTACACTCCAGGGCCCTCGATTAAAGAATTCCCTAAACTGCCAAGAGCATTTGACATTTTAATAGATTGCTCCACATAACTCTGTTACTTGACTTAACATTTTTTCAAAGTAGCAATCGGGTCACCTATTAATTTTATGCCCTGGATATATATCTATTCATACACTCAGAGCTGGTCAAAGTAATCCCAAATATGTTTTGTTTTTTCCTAACCATCCATTTAAAATAACATTGCATGTCCTACAAATTAAATGACATATGCTCTTCCAAGGGAAAGCAAATCAGACTAAGTGGATAATAAATCTCCTGATGAAAAAAATTATGACGTCATATTGATATCAATATTTGAAGACAGAGTCCTCTGGGAGCTGCTGACTGCCGCGAAGCAGCAAAATGTAAAAATCGAATCTCATGCAATCCCCCCACCCCCATCTGCAGGGTAAAAGCGTGTTAACAGGTGGGCTTGATGCTCTGGAGTTCATCGGCAAGAAAACCATGAATGTCCTCGCAGAAAGTGACCCAGGCTTTAAGCGGACCAAGACACTCATGGAAAGAACCGTTTCGTTATCCCAGGTGGGATTCTGTTTTTTTGCAAGTTTTTCTTTCAGTCAATAAAACAAGAGGTAGTAGAGGCCTGGAACTGTGGAGCCATGAAGGTGGTCATGAGTGCTGATCCTGGGTGCAGTGCGAAGGCCTATCCAGATTTCCTGAAGGGCTGAATGTGGGGTGTGAGATAGAGGGAGGAGGCAAGGATGGCTCCGAGGTGTTGGCCTGAGCAGTTGGAAGGATGACACTGCCATTAGCTGAGGGAAGTCTGCTGGGGTTTCCCTAACCCACAGTCAACGACTGGAAATCGGAAGTGTTCACCATGCACGACCTGCATGCCTCATGGTTCTCTCCCAGTGGAACTCTCTGGGGAACATTCCTCGGACCTCACGCCAGAATCACGCCTTGCTTTTTAAATCCATCTCCTGTCCAGAGGGAAAATAGAACCAGCATCCTGGGTAAAGCCAGGTCTTCTTTAGGCAACTTGAATTCCACTCTCCATTTTTTGGAGTGAATTCAAATCATTCCAGGATGATGCTTCCCCTTTACCTTCCATCTCAGCCCTTTCCTTTCTATTCCCAAGTACAAAGTCAGAGATGGAAGTTGGTTTAGAGCAGCCGTGGGCAAACTATGGCCCGCGGGCCGGATCCAGCCCATTTGAAATGAAAACAACTAAAAAAAAAAAAAGACCGTACCCTTTTATGTAATGATGTTTACTTTGAATTTATATTAGTTCACACAAACACTCCATCCATGCTTTTGTTCCGGCCCTCCGGTCCAGTTTAAGAACCCATTGTGGCCCTCGAGTCAAAAAGTTTGCCCACCCCTGGTTTAGAGAAAGGAAGTGATTTCGATGTCAATTGGTTATTTTGTTTGACCACCACCAACCCAGTGAGATCAGTGGGGAGGCTGTGTGTGTCACCTGCCACCTTGATTGGCTCCGACTCCTGGTGACTGAGTCATGTCCACAGTGTCCTGTCCTGCTCAGCTCCTGTAGACTCAGGCCTGTGGCTTCTTTCATGAAATCAGTTCTCCTGTTCGGTCTTCCTCTTTTCCTGCTGCCTTCTATTTTCCCAGCATGATTGTCTTTTCCAAAACACCCACCTTGTCATGATGTGCCCAAAGGACAGCTTCAGTGTTGACATTTTTCCCTCCAGGGAGGTTTCAGGCTTAATTTGCTCTGGGACCCACTTGTTCATCTTCCTGAGGGTCCATCCGTAGAGCTCTCCTCCAACACCATATTTCAAATGAGTGATTTTTTTTTCTATCAACCTTCTTCACTGGGTTTTATTGTGTTAAAAATTGCCAGTGGTTTGATGGGGTTGTTTTGAAAACGTTAAAATTCAGAGCTTGTACTTATTAATGACAAACAGGAGGGAGAGTCTGTCTGCAGCCCTGTGGGTTTTCAGCCAATAACATCCAGACCCAAATGGAGGAAGTGGCTGATTGTTTTATTGACACACAATAAAAACAAAATCTATTCGCCTGTGATCTTCCCTTGGTGACCTTATGGTGGCCAGTGTCTTTATGGTGCTCTTCACAGATAGTAAAGAACCCTATAAACTTAATGCCCCCGTAAATTTGATGAGGAATCGAATAAATGAGGTATAAAATCAAAGAAAGCAAGTGCAGGAAACTGGGAGTGACTGGTGGACTTGTGTTCCTTTCATTGTCCTTTTATTTAAATCAACAGAAAACATAACTTGAGAAAAATTATCAATGAGGAGAGGAACTCAGTTCACAGTCATACTTCCCATGAACTGCCAAGCAAACATTTACATTCAGGATCTAGTAAGGAATATATTATGAATTTATATTTTATTAATTTTGTGTGTTTTAATAACCACACATACACAAATTTTTAAATGATGTGACTCAGATAAAATCAGGTCAGTTAGTTTCTGCTTTGAAGTCTGCCTAAGTGCAGCCAGCGCAGTTAATCCTGTCACAATAGATTAAACTTTTCTAGTGCACATACATTTGCTCATTATAAAAAAAATTGACTTTGTAGATAATTTAATCACACACAGAAAACACTTCCGTGGAAACCACTGTTGAGCTTCTGTTATGCTTCTTTCCAGTCTTATACTGGGGCATATAGAATTTTTGCTTTGATTTGTTGTGTACATAATGAACATGTAAAATTCAAAGTGGACTACTGTGTAAAAATTGTCAGTAGGATCCATCAAAACCATCATCTTTTTTTAGAAATTCCAAAGTGACTAAAACCTACTCTTACAAATACAGAGTCAGCTCTCATCGCCCCCTACGTCTTATGCAGGAAACAGGGCTTCCGGGCACACAGTGAGTATACGAATATTGCGTATTTCTGCAGATGTTAAGGGAGGCCAAGGAGAAGGAGAAGCAGAGACTGGCGCAGCAGGTCACGGCCGAGAGGACTGCACACTACGGGATGCTGTTTGATGAGTACCAAGGTTTGTCACACCTGGAAGCTCTGGAAATTCTATCCAATGAAAGTGAAAGCAAGGTATGTCTGCACAGATCGTTTTAAATGACATATTCATCAACGCGTTTTCTTAAATAGGAAAGAAACTGGAAAATCTGCCACTAAAACACCTCCTTATAATTGTGCCGAGGTCACAAATACTGTACAGCCTAGGACTGCCCCATGCTCCATGTTATTCCCGCTCCGTCCTCTGCCAAGCGATTACTCCTCCCCATCCCCAAGAGGCCAGCACAGTGAGAGTCATCACTAGCCAGACCTAATGGTGCAAAAGGCTGCTCAGAAGCTTGGCTGTCAGGCTCCGGGCCCTGCCCCTCTCTTTGCTGACATAGTACCCAGATCAAAGATGCCCTTTGAAGCCCCGTCTTCATTCCCACCCAGTGAAAACAAAGCAGCTGATGTTGGTTCCAGGCTATGGAGTTTTAATATATTTAGTTTTATGGCTTAGATGTTTAATCACCCATTTGTTAGATTGCCTGGGCTACAACGGGCAGGATTATCTTATTGGTGGTTACAGTTGTATTTGGGAATGCTCCTGAGAAGCCACCCAGCAGCTCTGCATGTTCACATTCCCCCGCTGTGACCCCAAGAAATAAAGCATCGCCCTAGCCAGTTTGGCTCAGTGGATAGAGTGCTGGTCAAGGGCATGTACCTTGGTTGCAGGCTTGACCCCGGGCCCTGGTTCAGGTGCGTGCAAGAGGCGACCAATCGATGTGTCTCTCTCACATCCATGTTTCTCTCTCTCTCTGCCTCTCCCACCCATTTCACTGTTTCTAAAAGTCAATGGAAAAATATCCTAGGGTGAGGGTTAACCATGAAGAGCAAAAATCAGCAGGGTGTGGTAATTTTTATTCTAAAAGATCTACATGGTGTGTATATGTGTGTCTTTAGTTAGCAAACACTTATACTGGCACTTATATAGTCACCATTCTAAGCACTTCATTTTATTTATTTTTTATTAAATTTATTGGGGTGACATTGGTTAATAGGATCATATAGGTTTTAAGTGTACATTTCTATGATACAAGATCTGTATATTGTACTGTGTGCCCATCAACCAAAATCAAATCATCTTCCGTCAAAACTGTTAACTCATTTAACTGTATGTGTGGCTCTGTTGTGTGAATGTCAGGGTGACCGTATTCACGGGCACTTTTCCAGTGGAGGCCATAGGGCAGTGCCCTTTGGACCTCCCATGAGGGGCTATGGGCTATTAGGAGCCATGGGCCATTCACTGGGAGAGGCAGGTGCTCAGACAGGAAGCTGAACTTGGAGGTGAGCCTCCGAATGGAGAAGAGACTTTTTTTTTTAAAGGCAAAATCATGAGATATAAAATGAACATGAATTAAATCATTTATTTACCTCAATAATTAAATAAAGGAACCAAACAACTATTATAACTGAGTCAAAAGGAAAAGCCAAAGAAGCACAAATGTATACGGAGTAAAACAGTTTTGAAATGAATGTGCAAATGGACACACACCTGGTTTTTCCAGAGGAGGTTGTCCCTCCACTGGGCAAAATTCACTCACATATCTGTAGTCAAGAATTATTTTTTTGCTTCAAACAGCTCTCTACAAGTTAGAGAGTTATAAAATGACTCCCATAGAGCAAAATCCGATGATCTGGGAAGGTGTGCATTAGAGAATGAAGCACAAAGTTTCCCCTACAAAGCTGTTTGGGGTCAGATATTACGTGATCAGATATGACTCAGTAGCTGTATGGTTGGGACCTGTCTTACCTCAGTCTCCTTATCTCTGAAATGGGAATGGGAATGAAAACCTATTTCATAGGGTTATTAAAATAATTGAGCTAATCCATGTGAAGTTAGTCACAGCATGCCTTATACATAATAAGCACTCAGTAAATGTCAGCTGCCGTTTTACTGTATACATACTAGAGGCCCGGTGCACAAAAATTTGTGCACTCGGGTGGGTCCCTCAGCCCGGCCTGTGCCCTCTCCCAGTCTGGAGCCCCTCAGGGGCCCCTTCCCTTGGCTGCTGGCACCAGTTTTCCTCTGGCGCCCGGAACCCAGGCCTTCGCTCTTCGCCGGGATAGGCCCGGGCCCTGGGCCCCGGGGGCGTGGCTGAGGCCAGCGCTCGGCGGGCTTCCCTCTTTGCTCTTCGCTCGCCATGCTGGCCTTCGATCACTGCTCCTGCCCGGGTCCAGCCGGCTTCGCTCCCTCGCTTGGCGCCTACATATGCAAATTAACCTCCATCTTTGTTGGCAGTTAATTTGCATATCGCCCTGATTAGCCAATGGGAAGCGTAGCGAAGATCGGTCAAATACCCTTTTTGTCTTTTATTAGATAGGATATGTGTATAGGTATATATAATGTTGATGACATTTTCTTTTTATATGAATTCTTATGTTACATATTTGTTATTAATACTAAAAACATTACCGGGGAGCATGACCCCTTGGGGCAGTCATGGTGGTAGCTGGAGAGATTTCACTCTGGCTGGTTCCATCGCAGGTCTCAGCTGTGAAACAGCCGCAGGTCCCAGGTCCCTAGAAAAGCGCCCCGAAGGACTGCCGTTGCTAGGAGGGAGGTGAGGTCCCTGGAGGGAGGCATTGCTCTCTGTCTGCACACGGCTCCCTCAAACTCAGCTTTCCTTCCCCAACCTGGAGATTTTTGTAGTTTTCATAGTGAGAAATGTAGACTTTTTTTTTTCTTGGCTTTATTACTGGGTGCTGTAATAAACAGTCTTAAAATGTTATGGGTCGAACCCATTAGGCATTATCCTCCCTCCTGTAACAGTCCCAGGTGGGGGTGCCTGATCAGCGGGCAGCTTTCCTGCATGTAGGGATCCAGGAGCCAGGCTCTGCCCATCTTGTGCCTCCACTAGACCCATCCTAATGCTCACAGGCCTCTGGCAAGAACACAGATGGAGACCTACGCTGGGGCTGTCAGCTTGAACAAATAAAAATACAGGATGACTAGTTACATTTTAACTTTAGAAAAGCAATGAATACTTTTTTTTAAAGCATAAATATGTCCGGTGCAATATTTGGGACATAACATTTGTACTACAAAAATATTCGTTGTTTATCCAGAATTCAAATTTAACTAACTGGCCCATATTTTATCTGGCAACCCTACGCATACCAAATATTTAAGAGCAAAAGCACTTTTGGAAACAGACTGCTGAAGAAAATATATTCTGCCATCCTACCCTTGACAAATATACTTTCTAATGACCTGGAAGGCCAGATTCCCATTTAGACTTCTCAGGCTCCTCCAGTTTCCACACCACCCTCCTGCCTGCTCTCCTCCCTTTATCGCCAGTTGTCTCCCACCTCAGAGAGCCTCACATGCACATGTAATGATGACTTAGTTCAAGTTCCGCCACACCCTGCGAACAACCACCTCCTTGTCATCCCTTGGGCCCAGAAGTGCACTCTCCAGTAGCCAGTCCCACTGTAAGGAGCACTGCCTGGGGAAGAGGTCCCTACAGGCTGTGGAAGGGAACTTGGAGAGTCCCCTTGAGGAGGGTGGTCCAGTAGGGGGAGTACGGGCTCTGGGCAGCCTATCCTTTTGCCCTGTGGACTCCCCTGTGTCCAATCCTAAAGTATTGGCTTTTACCATCATCTAGTGTCTTCTCAATCCCACCAGCATAAGGAAAGAGAGTGTAGAGGGGACACTCCCATTTTTTAAAAGCTTTGACCCAGAACTGATTTCTGTCTCCTCTGCTAACATTCCATTGGCTAAACTGAGACAAGGCATAAGGAAATATAAAGACTATCTATCAGATTGGTTCTAGGATGGCAGTGGGCATGGCAATGTGGTATAATCTATAAACCTTCAGGAAAAACTAATAACTGTATTGCCATTATACTCAATATTCAACAAAAATAGTAAACAAGAATCTTGTCAGAACATGAGGGAAAAGATTTGTAAGGCAGACTGTCTGCCCTCGTGTTCCGACAGCACTTAAGGACAGTGCCAGGCATGCAGTCAGCATTCCACAAATATTTATTGAGGCATGCATAATTAATTATTTGTTATTGGGTTGAAATAAAGATTCAATGCCCATTGCCTTGCATAAGGGAGTGAACTAGAAGGAAGCAAAAGAGATGCGGTAGTAGACAGATGCAGACAAATGAGTCCTTGGCTTAAAAGAACCCTTCCCAGGGGTGCCCCACGCAGCAAACCCCACTGCGATCACTGCAGGAGGATGGCTCCCCTCCAGAGGCCACGGGAAAACCAAATGTTCCATATGTGTGTGTGCGTTTTCACTAATGGTTATTCTCTCACACACTTACTCAGTTACCTTTATTTTTACTCGTAGACAGCTGCTGTTTAGAAAATATATCTGAGGCGTCGGAATTTGACGTGGGCACATCCAGGACCCTGAGACCTAAACATGAGTGTGTGCACTGCAGGAAAGAGTCTGAGGCGGTCGGGATGAAAAGGAGGGGCGGCAGCCGCGTGCAGCCTGCCTTTGCTTTCACCTGCTGCACTCGGCTAATGGGTTTTGTGCTGATGACTTCCCGCCGGGCTTCTGCCCAAAGCTTCGGCGCTGGCTGCATTAGCAACGTTTAGGAAATTGGTGCTCTGGCATCCTGTTGCCCTGTCTAACGCCCTCACTTACCCTGATGTGTGAATCTACTACCATCATGAATATTTAAACATATTCTAAAGGGCATGGTGGTTCCTCTGCTGGCTCTCCCTCCAGAGCAAGGGTTGGCCCCGCAGAATGAAAAATTAAAAGCCTTATACTGTGCGGTCGTACTTTAGAGGGCGAGAACCATGCCCTTTGGCCAGCTGGGGAATGGAAATCAGTGTTCAGACTCACAGAGGATGCCTGGCCATCTGTGCAAACGATTTTTAAGTGTTTACAAAGGATCCTTTCAAAGAGGGGAGCTGAAGACAATGGGCAGGGAGAACAGCAGTCCAGGGAGGACACCAGACCTCACACACCCTCTCGTCTCCCCCGAGGGATGGGCAGCTCCCTCCCTGGTGCCCCCACTGACACTCCACTGGCACTGTCATGGTGTTATAGGTTATCGTGGGCTCCCTCTCCTAGACTACAAGATCTCTGAGAAGAAAATTGTGTTTTGTGCATTTTTGCAACTCCAGTACAATAACCCAAGTATATGTGTATATATATCTGTATCTGTGTATATATAATATTTATTTATTTACATGTGTATATGTATATGTATACAAAATGTCTTGATCATCACTGTAAATACTTTTAACTTTCAAGTCAACCTGATTAAGGTAGATGCTTTTAGTCCGCATTTGAAAGATACCAACCATTTGGAGCTGAGGCATAGAAAGGTTAAATTGCCCAAGATCACATAATTACTAAGTGAGGAGCTGATATTGGAATCTAGGGTTGACACCAAAGTGTGTTTGTAAGCGCTGTCACCCAGGAGCCTCTGCCACCATTCATTCAACACCTGCTGTGGGCACCTGTGCAATGCCCTTCACGTTCGTCACCTCATTTACCGCACATCAATCACAGTAGAAGTGTGGGTCTCACTTTAAAATTTTAAAAAACTGAGGCCGAAGGAGCTTAAGTAATGGGCCCAAAGTTGCACAGTTAATAAGCAGTTCATCCAACCCCGCATTACCTCCCACGCCAGGACTCACCCGGTCCCGGGGGAACTGGGGACACGTGGACGTAAATGTTATTAAGGAGAAGAAAGGATGACAGTTATGCTGACCTATTTCTTTTTTCAGGTTCAGTCATTTTTAGCATCATTTGATGGAGAGAAGCTGGAACTCTTAAAAAATGACCTAATTTCCATTAAAGACATCTTTGCAGCCAAAGAGTTAGAGAATGAAGAGAATCAGGAAGAACAAGGTAACGGAAAATAACGAGTTAATAGCAGGACGGGCTGTTGGTATAATCCTTATGACACTGCTATTAATAAGCACATCCCTTTGAGCAGGGTAGAATTATTTAATCCAGTGCTCCTCCATCCCACTTCCAAAACACTCCAAGGAGCTGGTCCCATCGATCTATAGTCCTCTCTTTTTGCTGGGCGGGAACTCCTGACTGGGGCACCTTTATTTCTCCAGCACAGTCCCTGGCACATCACAGGCACACAATGAATGGGTGTGGTCAAGTGAACTGGGAGGGCAAAGCACTGAACAGGGCCCTGAGGGCGAGAGTGTATGCTCCGATGGCTAATGCTTTATCTGCAGGTGGAAGCTGTTGAATGTGATTGATATTGATGATGGGCAGGTATTTCAATGGATTTCTTTTCATAGTTTTCCTCTCCCTTTTAATGTATATGTGTAGATGTTAGGATGTATTTGTAAGTGGCCTTACAGTCCAGCGAAAGGTACAGTTTATACAAAGGCCCACACTGGAGTGTTGTGTGTCAGGTTGTCAATCGCTGAACTGAGCCAGGTGCACTCTCCCGACACTGGCATGACCCCAGGGACAGGAGGACCTATTTTGTGAGAAGCAAGGCTTCCCTGAGAGGGTGGAAAACGCTCTCAAAGGTAGACACGCTTAACGATTAAGTTGTCCATTTGGGAGCAGAATATAGTAAAACATTTGCTGTGTATGTGGACGGGATTTCTTACCGATGTCATCACCAAGCACTACAACCACAGCGTTCGTGTAGGTCAGTGGTTCTCAACCTTGGCTGCACATTAGAATCACCTGGGAATCTTTTTAAAATCCTGATTTCTGGGCCTCATCCTCCGGAAATTCTGTTTCTTTGTTAGGGGGGAGGGGGCTGGGGCCACAACATTAGTAACAAAGAAACAGAATTTCCGGAGGATGAGGCCCAGAAATCAGGATTTTAAAAAGATTCCCAGGTGATTCTAATGTGCAGCCAAGGTTGAGAACCACTGGTGTAGGTTATACTGAAAAGGTCGAGCAGCCATGGACAAGACAGGGCTGGCTTCTAGAACCCTCTGAAGGGTCCCATTGGACATATGTTCACCATTTACATGCTATATGGCCTCGAACAAGCTATGTAACCTTTCTGAAACTCAGTGTCTCACCTGCAAAGTGGAGACAATGACACATATTTCCAAGGGCTATTGTGAGGATCAAGTTAGATAATATATGTAAAAACATATATGACAGTGCCTGGCACACAGAACCGCTCAAAAATGCTAGCTGTGAGTATGATTTAAAGTGCTAACACAATGCCAGGAAAATAATAAAGGTGCAATAGGTGTAACTCTTATTTACGGTTGCCCTTGGTGTCACCCACACGTGGAGTATGGTAACGTGCATTCATTCTGCCAAGTCTCGGAAGTGCTTTGTGCCCAGGTGTGTCACGGACCTTTAATCAGAGCTTGAACACCAGCGCCCCAACGCTTCAGCCTCGGGGCTCAGGGCAAAATTATTCTAAGCTTTTGCAAACTGTCATTTAAATACCATCTCCTGCATTAGCCCCACGTAGTGACCTGACGTGCCTCCAGTTTAATGAGCTTCACGCTCATTGCATCAAAATAGAAGAATCAATTATTCTAAAGCCTAGAGAGAGGCCTATTGCAAAGAGACTGTTGGAGAATTATGTGTTTGAGCATTTGTGTGTTTCTCTAAAGTCACAGAGGGTGACGGCCTTGTCTTGGGGTTAATAATGAAGAAGCGAAGATTCCAGTTAGTATTCTGGTCTCAGGATGAGCTAGTGTAACAGTCACCATAAAGAGCCAGGCTATTCTCTTCCATTTCTTTTTTTAAATATTTTAAAATATTTTTATTGGTTTCAGAGAGGAAGGGAGAGGTCTAGAAACATCAATGATGAGAGAGAATCATCAGTCGGCTGCCTCCTGCAAGCCCCCTACTGGGGATCAAGCCCCCAACCCAGGCATGTGCCCGGGAATTGAACATGAACTCTTGATTCATAAGTGAATGCTCAACCACTGAGCCACTCTGGCCAGACTCTCTTCAGTTTCTTGATGCCTGAGGTAGACTTTGTTCCTTTTAGGGGTTCATTCAGAAAAGATAAAAAAGAGATCCCAAATTCCCTGTAACATCGGAGAAATATTGTTGCCAGTGCAAGATAAGGCAGTTATTGCTTTCTCAACTAGTGCTATTTCTTGGAGAGGAAACTTGATTCAATATTGTTAAATAGAAAACGGTGTGTCCCGGTCCCGTATAGAGCTTCAGTAAATTGAGATTTTTTTTTTAATATGACAAACAATATTAAAGTTCTAAATAGCATGCTTATGAAATGTCTCTCCTTAAGTCACAGAACCCTGTAATCTCCTGTTTAGTATGTCCATTTTCCCAAAGGGCATCTCCAGGTTATCAAACCACACTTAATTTTAATTAATTTAATATAGAAATGTCATTCGAACACTTGAAAAAGAACCGGGAGGGAAGAATAGCAGGGTTGTCATTAAATCAATCTTATTATGATGGAGTGTTACAACTTATGGGGGAGGGGGAACGCGAGCAGACAATCCAAGAGCAAAACTCGAGAAGAAACTAGAACATTTTCATCAAATCCTTTCTTGGAACCACTTCCTAACACCTAAATAATTTATTTGATAGTCTCTGGATACGTTGTCATTGTTAGATAAATTTAATATCAGGCTCCCTTGCATTGACTAATGTTAGCTTATGATCTGCCTGTTTGTTTCTCCAGCAGAATATAATTTTATCACACTGCCATAGATCTCTAATTTGGTTTACCACTGTTATGAAGAGATTTTAAAAGCCTGTTTTCTATTTTCACTGCCTTGGTGAAGGTCTTTTCACCATATATACAGACCAAGAGTTGCAGTAATAAGTATCCTTTGTTGAAACGCTTTTTTATTATCTGTTTTTGTCCACTTCCATTTTCCCCTGTGATTTTTTTCCTAACATATTTGGCAGCGGCATTGGTGGATGTTCCTGTTTTACAGAATGAACGCACATTTAAAAGCAGGGCTGCACCAAGTACTTGTCTTCTACATTAATGTTGATCACTCCCAAATATTTTTAATCTCCTTATGTTATATCTTTGTAGCACATAACAATATAGTTACATGAAACTTCAGAGTTTATAAAACGCTTTTGCATCTGTTATAGTATCTGGTCCTTGCAACGCTATGAAAGAAAAGATGTGTGGCTTTATTTTCCTAAGTTTGCAGAGGAGGGTTTGGAAGCTAAGAAGCCCTTTGACTGGCCCCACGTCACAGACCCACCAGGTGCTGGAGCCGGGGTAGAACCCATACCTTCCAGTCTCAGTGCAGGGCTCCTCCTGCCCTGTCACACTGCCTCCTGCGGAACGAGAAGAACGGGCAGTTTGGGGATGAGACCTTGTTGATGCTCAGCTGTGCCCCGTCCCTCTTAGTCTGCCTACCTAGAGAGGATGAGACCAGACCTCCGCCCAGTGGAGAAGGAATCTCAGCTTTTAATGAAATCTCTCTCTCTCCCTCCATGTTTCTTTCTCCCTCTCCTTTTCCCCCTTTCACCGACCCCCAAACTCTCCTTTGTGCATGTGTAATGCTTTCTCATTCTTTTTTTTTTTTAATCCTCACCAGAGGATATTTTTCTATTGCTTTTTGTGGATAGAATGGAAGTGGGGGAGGGGGAGAGAGAGAGAAAAAACATTGATGTGAGAGAGATACATCAATTGGTTGCCTCCTGCATGCACCCTGACTGGGGAATGAACCTGCAACCCAGGTACATGTCCTTGACAGGAAATCAAACCCAAGACCCTTTAACCACTGAGCACCCCAGCCAGGGCTGCCTTCTCACTCTTGAACACTCAGATCAGACATCACCTCCTCCATCGAGACTACTTTGACTTGCTCAGCACCGTGGCTCTGTGAACATGAAAAGGCTCTGCGTGTCATCAGAGTTGCAATGCTAGGCATAATAGTACTCTAAGTCATAAATACAGTGTTGGTGCAGGCCACTCGGGCCTGAGAAAGGTCATTCATTTGTTCATCAGTCATTCTTTCAGCAAATAACTACTGACCACCCATAGCTGCAAATGAGACGGATAAGTCCCTCCCCGCCCTCCCCTTACAGCCTGGGGGCACCCCAGCGAGTGCTGTGAGACTCTGGCAGCCCCCCTGCCCAGCAGCAGCCTGCTGCCTCACTGCCATGTCATAAGTGGGCGACACTCATCTTTGCTGGCAGCTGGAGGGCAGGTTGTGGGAAGATGAAAAATAAGTCATGCTTCTTACTTGTGTCATTTTCTAGTTCTAGGCTCGGAGGAAAAGGGAGAAGAATTTGCGAGGATGCTTACAGAGCTTCTCTTTGAATTACATGTTGCGGCCACGCCTGACAAACTCAATAAGGTCAGCACCATCTGTCTGAGTTTTTGTCTTTTAGAAGAAGGTCCCAGTTATCAAATTCCAGAGCTCCCCCTGAAATGGAAAAGCCCCACACCCCACATGACACACGGGTGGAGGGAGGTCTGAGGTCGGAAATTAAGATTCAGGGCGGCTACATAATGAAATGCAATGGTAGAGCACACGCAGGACCTGCGTTTTAGATGCAGCATCAGTAGTAATTACCTTATGACCTTGAACAAGTCACTTCTCAAAATAGAATTGTATGTCGGAGCAAAGGTTACCTTCAGCATAGGGCAGAGAAGAGGGTTCCAGAATCACCAAGGGGCTGTTTCAAACGCCATCTCCCCTCCCCCTCTAGAGTGGCAGGCCAAAATTAGGCAGAGAGAAGCACATCAGCCAGGGGGCCCGTGCCCCCTCCCGCCTGGAATGCTGGTGCCACATCCTGTCTAGGGATGTTCAAGGTGCAACAGTCAGGGTTCCCCTCATGGTACCAGAGTCGGTTTTGGAAGTTAGTGCAAGGTCTTGCTGCGGAGTTTCTTAACGAGGGCACTGATCATTAATTACTTAAAACTGTGTCCTCTTCCCTACTCTCTCTCTCTTTTTGTTTTCCTGTTCTTCTCTTTAGCCCCCAGTAATTGCCACAGGCCCTCATTTATCCAGAGGGTGAGGAAAGGGCAGACTGAGGCAGTGAGGGGGAGAGATGAGTAATTGCTTTATCTCTGAGAGAGGTCACGGATTCTGGCAGGTCAGTGACTTGAGCACAATGGGAAATTGCCTCATTCATCTCAGAGCAGCTCCTGCCACTGGCCGGAGAGTGTGAGGTCTCCAGGGCCTCCCGGTTTATGCAGTTACATAGTCAGGTAAACCTGGGTCCCTGAAAGAGGACACACCAAGGATAGTGTTATTGGGTTTTATCTCCCCAAATCTTCTTACCATTAGCTCGCCATTCAACACTCTGACATATTAAACTTTGACATGGACGCTTTAGGATGAGAAGTAGTTTAGCCTAAGCTCAGGTACAACTTGCACTTAAGCAAACGGCTTAAACTTTAATGGTAAAAGCTCCCTTTCTAAATGCAAGGACTAACAGAGAGGGAAGGTGGTTGATGCTTGTTCAATTTAGCCATCATTTCTTAGGCACTCCTGTGAAATTCAGATAGTCACAGCGCGATGCCAGGTCTTTCCAACAGCCCTTCCCTCCTCCCCCCACACACCCCCCACCCCCAGGTCAGGAGACCTCCCACAGCTAGAGCAGCCATCTTTCATCTCCCCAGTGCGATGCATTATCAGGTTCATGAGACATAGCAGACGAGGACATTTGCTTTAGCAATGACCCTGGCTAAATGTATAACCTATATATTTAAAAAGTCCTGTGATTCTTTTACCGTTGGTCACGAAAAGTGAAAAATATACTATCACTCTTTCAAAGTGAACGTCATTTTTATTCTTACCTGAGTACCATTTTAGAGCGCTTTTTAAAACATCCTTCACCCTCAGTGGATATCAGTCATTGAAGTTGGTACAATAGCCGTGAATTAAGTAAGTCGTCCAGAAATCCAGATAGGAAATTCCCATTTTTATAAAATGTAAGTTCCCAGAATGACCAATTTTAGGGAAAAAATGAATTTTTCCTCTGTATTTGAACAGAAATGTAGCTCAGTGTGCAGCAGTCATAGTGCAGGCTGCATGGAGCCCTGTGAAAACAGAACATCGATGAAGAACATACTTGTCACAGTGGCAGGTACACAGAACCTGTGACAGTTACCCTTCTGAGTAGAAAATCATACTGCACTAAGGTACCAATAATGAGATCAAAAGTCATATGTTGAATCCTTTGGTAGGCCAATTTTCGTTTGTCTCTTTGTTTTCAGCCTACGTTGTACATTTGCCCTCAAATATGACAATAAATCTCTCGATTGCTAAAAATAAATAAATAAATAAATAAATAAGTAGAAAGAAACATCCTTCACCCTGTACAGGGCTCTCCATGCTTTCTTTCTATTCTGTCCCCTTTTCCTATGTTATAGTCACCCAAAAGCAACAACAAGGTGTTTGTAAGGAGCGTAAGGAATTGCCCCATCATTGTTTAAACTACAGAGAAGCAGCCTTGAAGGTTTAGGGCAAATTGATCCTAGTCTAGCAATTGGAATATCTTAGTCTCCTATTTGCACAATAAATGTGTCGCTTTGGCTGGGGCCTTCACAGGCCATGAAGAAAGCTCACGACTGGGTGGAAGATGACCAAACCGTGGTGCCGGTAGACGTGGCAGAAGAGACAGAGGAGAACACTAAGAAGGAAGAAAAGGAAGAGAAACCTGAAAATCCTGAAGAGGGTGAAAAGCAAGAAAGGAGAACTAAGACAGTTGAGGTAAATGTATTTTAGATTGTCCACCTAAAGAGCAGTAATATTGCCAAAACCGGTTTGGCTCAGTGGATAGAGCGTCGGCCTGCGGACTGAAAGGTCCCGGGTTCGATTCCGGTCAAGGGCATGTACCTGGGTTGTGGGCACATCCCCAGTAGGAGATGTGCAGGAGGCGGCTGATCGATGTTTCTCTCTCATCGATGTTTCTAACTCTCTATCTCTCTCCCTTCCTCTCTGTAAAAAATCAATAAAATGTATTTAAAAAAAAAAAAGAGCAGTAATATTATGCTAATTTTATTACCGGCCTAATTTTAAGTGAGAAAAAACCATTTCACTTTTATTATAGAAATATGAGTATTAGTATAATAAACACCAAAATTTCTCAACTCCAAGATAATTCATGACTTAGCATAAGTATTGTAGCTTTTCTACATAGCTCTACAATTGTAATTTAAAGGGGGTGGGGGGGAGGGAATGATCTTTAAGGACATAGTTGATTTAGCTTGAGAGTGAAATTCCATCTTGTATGCCATAAAATGTCTTTATGCCCCATAACTAATGAGGTAATTGAAGCTTTTTCCAAAAAAATTTTTATTGGCACAGTTTTTATTCTGTAGTTTAATAAGTATAGATGTGTATAATTTATATCCTGCCTATGTTTAAAAATGAGTTCATGATCACTTCATCTTACATTGGATTTGAATTTTAGAAAAAGTAATTTTTAAAATTAGATCACGCTGAGAAAAATGTCCATTGAGGTCGATTCATTTAACTGCCCTTTTACAAGCCTTCTTGAGTGCCTGCCTGTAGAGTACCCAACATTGGAGGGACAGAGCTGTGACTAAGACTTGCCATGTCCATGGGAACTGGACAGCACTTCCATTTTAGGGCAGATTTCCACTCAGAAAAGTCTTAGACGTGCCCATTAATCTTTGGGTAAACTGTTTCCGTTCATATTTGGGTTCTTTTTAAAAAAATTATATGTGCATATATATTTTTTAATATTGCAGTGTGTATTTTTTAAAAAGCATCTGCTCAGTTGTTATTTTTTTACTTGCATTCACTTATTTCAGGAAATATACATGCTGTCCATTGAAAGTCTGGCAGAAGTCACAGCACGCTGTATCGAGCAGCTTCACAAAGTAGCAGAATTAATTCTTCATGGACAAGAAGAGGAGAAATCAGCTCAGGACCAAGCAAAAGTGCTGATAAAGTAAATGTTATTTTAAACGCTTATTTTTCCAATTTTATATACATGTGCCATTCAAACACACACACACACACACACACACACACACACACACATACACACGGTACTAAAGATTCCTATTTCAAGTCAGCTAATTCCAGTTTTTATGGTCATATGGTCATCTTAAGGAATAAGGACTCTCTTAAGAAGTGAACCATGTCAGCAAGGATATAATAGTTAACTAGATATTTCAGGAATTATTTATGAAGAGATTTAAGAGAAGACACCTTAAATAATTCAGAGCTAAGTAAGTACTAGTATTTATTTTATAGATCCAAGTCATAGAAGTACGAACCTTTAAGGGTAATTACACAACATACCACACAGATATTGAGAGCAAGCTTCATAAAAATATGCACACACACACCCACTGTTCCTAGGGACTTATGCCAGCTCTTCGTATTCTGAATTCTGGCAATGGCAGTCGCTAATGTAAGCCAGTTCACTGGACTGCATGCATGCGTATATGTGCTGTTATATGTTATGTTCTTCAAAAAATAGAAGTTACTATCAGTTCATCTAGTGAAATAAAAATGTATATATGTAACTCTGTATACAAGAAAATAATTGGTATGGAGTGTTCATTAATATAGTTGGTATGGAGTGGAAAAATAAGCTATTAACTTTTATGCACATGACTCTGTGTTATGTTCTAGAAAATTAGCACAAGTCCAAACACCACTTCATTATTATACAGACACAGAAGCCAAAGTGAGAGCCTCCAAAAAATATATGGGTGCACATACACACATATCTCACCTCACTCATTCACCTCGCTAGCTGACTAGTCTTTGCTTATTACTGCATTTGGCATTGTAGGTTGGGGAGCAAATTTTCCAACAAGTCAATATTAGTGGCATTTTTCCTCATTTGTAAAGATTTGTCACCTAGTCTAGATTTTCATATTTAAACCCGTGAAAATCAAAGCTATTATAAGAACTGTATGATCCTGACCTTCATATGCCTAGAAAAGAATATTACTCCAATGTGTGGAAGGAAGAGGAAGAGGCAAAATAGGAGAAGTTGACATTGATGAAAACACCTAAGGACTATTGCATATTTGCTGCACTGACTTGGCAGAGGAGGGCTGCCTATGAGATGTCCCTGAGTATGGGTAGCAGGACCTTACTCTTAGCTTCTTCCTGATTCCCAGTCCTGCTGGTCCCATCCTTACCAGCTCACAGCAAAGGGTAATCAGACTCACATTTGTGTGTATGATGAGCGCCTCTCCACCCACCTGCCCAAGAACACAGACAGAATGGCTCTGGGCCATCTCCTAGCTTCACTCCTGACCCTTTCGGAAGAGCAGTTTCAGGTGGAGGGATGGATGAATGTTGCTCAATAAACCTGAAACCATAGCTTAGACAAGGACCCCTGCTTCTCAACACAAAGCTTACTTCCTTCTACTCAATGCACTAGATCTTTTCTGAGCTTTGAGTTATTGTTTTTCTAATAGGAATCACGATTCATAAAGGTCCCGTATGTTATTTTTTAAAAAGCAGACAGTACCGACATTGTTAGGTAATTAGACTGTTTTCCGTTTTTGTCATCATCTGTAATGTTCTGACGCATTCCTTTAGTTAAATATTTGTGCCCATCTCGTGTTACTTTCTTGGGGTAAAGTCTTAGAAGAGGAATGGCTGGAATAAACTTGGAGTTTTGATGTGAGTCTTAAAAACATCTACAGAATCACCTGAGTTTGAATCCCAGCTCTGTCACTTACTACTGCTTGTCCTGTGCAAGTTACTTAACCTTCTTAAACATCAGTTTCTTCATCTATAAAATGGGAATAATAATGTAACCAATCAGGTCACTATGAGGGTTAAATGAGATTATTTATACAGAAGTACTTAACGTAGTACCTCAATGAATGTTCATTATTATTTTTAAATGACCAAAAACCTGGAGAAACTTGGTAAGAGTGTTAAATGCCTCTACATGTGGGGCCTGAGACTGGTGTTCTTCTGCAGGTGGTTTTGATTCATGTGGCCTGAATGGATTAGATGATTATTCTTAATTAGCATGCAAAGAAACCCAGGATTAGACGCAACAGTGCTTGTGAATCATGGAAGATTATTGAGAAAAACATTTCTACAGAGCATCTTCAAACTTGTGTGCCATTCTTTAAGTGGAATATGGTATTAAGATCAGTAATTGTCTTGATGGTTAAATTATTTTACTTTATTAAAAAAATTAAGTGGAATATGGTATTAAGATCAGTCTTGATGGTTAAATTATTTTACTTTATTAAAAAAATCCTCAAACCACTTTTTCTTTAAATTTCAGATTAACTACTGCAATGTGCAATGAAGTGGCCTCCTTATCAAAGAAGTTTACAAATTCCTTGACCACAGTTGGGGTAAGATTGTAATGCTGATTCTTTTTTCCCCTCTGTAAGGGAGAGGGTTCTATGAGGGGCTCAGAGGAAGAGTGGAGGATTCAGGGCCTCCTGTGATGGCTCCACACACAGAAGCTCTGCCAGGACGTTTACCAAAACTAGGCCAAGAGCACCTTCTCTAACAGGCAGCTCAGGGCCCTCATCGGACTGAGGTTTAGCCCTGACACTGCCTCCTCAGATTTCTGAGACGTTGAGTGGGCTTTCAAACCACTCTGGGCCTCATTTTCTTCTTTTAAACTATATTTCTATTGATTTCAGAGAGGAAGGGAGAGGGGGAGAGAGATAGAAACATCAATGATGAGAGAGAATCACTGATTGGCTGCCTCCTACACGCCCCCTACTGGGGATCGAGCCCAAAACCCGGCATGTGCCCTTGACTGGAATTGAACCCGGGACCCTTCAGTTCAAAGGTTGATGCTCTATCCACTGAGCCAAACCATCGAGGGCTGGGCCTCATTTTCTTTATCTGTTTTTTTAAAAGATGTCAAACAAACCTTCTTTCCATTACTTAATATCTGAAGTATATAATTCAAGAATAATTAACTGAATATTTTCATTCACTGTTGCCTTCAGAGCCTATTGATAAGCACCCAAAATGAAAAGTTTCCTTGCTTGTTGTTACACTTCAACTTTAACCAAAAGAAAAACATTTACCAATTTGGCATGTGTTTCTCTTCTGAAGGTAACAAGTTTGAAAGGTTTGCATTTGTTTGAAGGTATACCTTCTGGTTATTTTCTTTTTTCAAAATAGTTTTATTGATTTCAGAGAGGAAGGGAGAGAGATAGAAACATCAATGATGAGAGAGAATCATCGATTGGCTGCCTCCTGCACAGCCCCCACTGAGGAGCGAGCCTGCAACCCCGGCATGTACCCTGACAGGAATTGAACCATGAAATCCTGGTTCATAGGTCAATGCTCAACCTCTGAGCCACGCCAGCCAGGCTGGTTCTTTTTTTTAGAAATTAGTCATGGTATGTAACCCCACCTTAGTGGGACCAGAGAAGGCAAGTGGAAAATACTTATTTTCAGCCTTTGTACTTCCTCTTTTAAAGCCCTGGATGCAAAGGTGGATGATTCTTTCCATGAGAAACAGATTTTACTTCCTAGGGCTGTAACAGGTACCACAAACTGGGTGGCTTAACAACAGAAGTGGATTGTCTCACGGTGCTGGAGGCCAGAAGTCCGAGATCAAGGCCATGCTTGCTCGGAACATCTTGCCTCCTCTAGCTTCTGGGAGCCACAGGCATTCTTTGGCTTGTGGCAGCATAGCTCTACCTGTTTCTCTGTCTTCACATTGTCCTCCCTCGGTGAACGGCTATGTCCAAACCTCCCTCTTCTTATAAGGACACTAGTCACATTGGATGAAGGAAGGACCTCATCGTAACTGATGACATCTGCAGTGACCTGATCTCCAAACAAGGTCACATTCCGATGGACTGGAGCAGTGGTTCTCAACCTTCTGGCCCTTTAAATACAGTTCCTCCTGTTGTGACCCAACCATAAAATTATTTTCGTTGCTACTTCATAACTGTAATGTTATTACTATTATGAATCGTAATGTAAATATCTGATATGCAGGATGGTCTTAGGCGACCCCTGTGAAAGGGTCGTTCGCCCGCCAAAGGGGTCGCAACCCACAGGTTGAGAACCGCTGGACTGGAGATTAGGACTGTAACATCTTAGGAAGGGACACAGTTCAAGTCTTAACGGGAAGTAACAGAAACAAGCTCTAAATAATTTAGACAGAAAGGAACTTTATTAGAGGCAGTGGAGAAATGTGAACAGCTTTGGGGGCCCAGTGCCAGAGCTCACATACCCTCTCTCTCAAGTGTTGCCACAATGGGACTAACTACCACAGTTCCCAGTTCTCTCCCTTTAAATTCTGGGTTCCCGGGGGAGAAGGTTTGAAAGGCTCAACAGCCTGAGTCAGATACCCATCTTGGAATCACCAGTAGTGACTGGGGACAGTCATAGCCTGCGTGTAGACCTACCTGGCTGCTAGGGTGCACCTCCCTCCCCGCAACCCCAGGCCAATGGCAGTTCTCAACACGGTGGAAATGACTGAGGACCTGTCAGGAGACGTGTGTCACCCACACTTCTGTAAGTGATTCTGTTAATAACGCTATACACCACTTATTGGTCCAGCTGTCAAGGAATCTGGTTTGCTTCTCCTAGTTTGTAAGACATCAGCTTTTATATTTGTCTTATTTTAAGCCATCAGCAATAGAGCTTCACTGTATACAGGCAGAGTGAAGGGGGAGGTGGAAGTTTATTGATATGATAGGCTCGATAAAATGCATGTATGTGCTCAGTGTTTCTAAGTTAACTGACACTCATGGACTTCTATGTAACTGCTAGGTTTACAGAGAGATGGAAGGTCTTAAACAGGATGGGCTGGCCTCAGTGGCTCAGCTTCCCAAGGCTCTAGTGTACCCTCTTCTCACTCCCCACAGTTTACTAGGTGAGACACTGAGTCCCAGAGAAGTGCACTGACTCACCCAAGCCTTGCAATTGGTCCCTCATCTTCCAGTTGTCTGCTCACAGACAGACAGACAGCTGATTCTCTGTGGTTATCTAGTGATGAGGATATATATATATATGCCTGCATGGGTGCGTGTTGTATGTTTTATACAGTTCATGGTAAACATTAATTGATTTGCTTTAGTGGGTACTATTCACAGTAGTTTCCCGTTCTTTTTAACATAGTATATTCCAGCCCAGTGCTTCTCAAACCTGAATGTGCAAGCAGGTCACCTGGCGATCTTGTTAAAATGCAGATTCCGATTCAGTGGGTCTGGCATGAAGACCGAGGCTCAGCATTTCTAACAGCTCCCAGGTGATGACAAGGTTCCTGACCCACCGTAAAGCTCAGCAGACAGGTGTTGTACTTGAGCTCACATCTGTATGTAAAGTTGACCCTTGAAAACATAGGTTTGAACTGCATAGGTCTACTTATGCGGGTTGTTTTTTCAATAAATATTGTAAATGTATTTTTTTATGATTTTCTTAATGATACTTTCTCTTCTTTGTATATAATGCATATGCAAATATGTGTTAATTGACTGTTTTGTTATCAGTAAGGCTTCTTGTCAACAGTAGGCTATTACTAGTTAAGTTTTGGGAGCATCAAAAGTTATCCACAGATTTTTGACCATGCAGGGTATTGGTGCCCCTAACCCCAAGTTGTTCAAAGGTCAACTGTACATACACAAATGTGTACAAATGTGTGCACAGAATCAGGAACACACAGTTATTATTTGGGAGAAGGAAAAAGCTAAGTCTAAATAGAGCTCGCTGAAATGCCATCTCACCACAAAATCCGCCTCATCCGGTACTGTGATGAATCATCCACATCAAGCATTGTTTCTGTTCTCCAAAACAGCCATTATTCATAACTTGAAGTTAATGAGAGTATATTGCTCTCTAGACTCTATTAAAATTGCTTGCACATCTCATTGATTCTGAAAATCAATGTCATTTTGATTATATTTTAGAGATTTATTGATAATCAAGTAAACATGAAAGCAAATACCATAATGGATTTTCTGGTTACTTACTAAAATGACTGGGCTTCTAAAGGTTTTTTTTTTTCCACTAAGACTTCATTATGGTTTCCCAGTAGAGTAATGTCAATGAAAGTGGGCTGCTCTGGGACGATGTATTTCATTTATATTCTCCTGTTTACCATAAAGTCTTCTGGGTACAGTAAGGAAAAGCAGTCTATTAAAATTGCCCCCTCTCTTTCCAGTCCCTTTAATTGTTTATTGCCTAAGAGTAGACTGAACATGTTAGACAGAGAAGACTGTTGATGGATAGACCAACAGTGGAGATCATGATGACGATGCTGACACTAGCTCTCATTTTTTGAATACCTGCTTTATATCAGGCTCTGTATTCTGTGCCTTACAGAATATTCATGGTTTGCAAACCGGGATCTGCAGACCTGTTTGCAAGTTATAGTTAAGATTGTTTTAATTTTGCTGCTAATCTGAAAGACACACTCTATAACCAAATACCCAAGTTTTGCACTGAAAGAAATGAGAGAGAGAGAGAGATTGAAAAATTTTAATTGAAAAGAACTGATCTCATGGGAAGAAAATTAGTACAATAAAAAATTTAATATGAAAAAAAAGAAAGGAAGGAAGGAAGGGAAGGGAAGAAAAGAAAAGAGAAGAAAAGAGGAAAGAGACTAATGACCAGGGTTGGGGCTAAGGTAGGCAAGTAAGATTCTTAACTCACTTGAAAATTTTCAGGGGACTCCCTCCAAAAAAGACAAAGAAACAACTTCAGTCATCTAGACAAATATTTTAATGCAACATTTTTTTTAAAAAAATCAAAATGAATACAAAACAATTTTAAGTAAAGACAGGCTCCAGCCCTGCACCGCTATACGCAGCCTCACTCCCCTCACTAATCCCAGACCTGCTACAAGTCTTCAACAGTTAACACAGGTCTGCGTTTCGGTTTCTAGCTGTGTGACCTCACACAAGTTACTCAACCTTCCTGATTGCCATTTCATCTCAAATGAGGATTGTCATGGCACCTACCTAGGGTTTCTGTCAGAACTCAATGAGGTCATCCAGGGGAAGCAGCAAAGAAGAAGCCTGGTCTAGAATAAGCTTTCCACCGCTCCTCTCCTTCCTCCCTGAGAGGTCCCTCAACGAAGCGGGTGTCTGACATTTTGTGGCACGCCTGGCAGTATGAGCGCCTAATCTGTCCGTTTCCTTCTTTTCATATCCCTCAACACAGCCAGTGTCTGACATTTTATGTTGCATGCCTGGGAGTATGAGCGCCTAATCTGTCCGTTTCCTTCTTTTCATTCCATAGAGCGACAAGAAGGCCGAGGTCCTTAACCCCATGATCAATAGTGTATTGTTAGAGGTAAGTGGCCCCGAAGAGAAAGTGCTTCTGAATCAAAGCAAATGTTAGCGCTACATTTTTTCCCCAGGCAGCAAGTGTTACTGCAATTCCAAATCTTATCATCAACAGGCTTCTTTTGAGTACATTTGTGGAGCTCAGCCAGCTGTAAACCCGAGGGTGAAGCAGCAATACATAATTCTCAAGAATTCCTGATTATGAAGAGAAATGCACAGCTTGCACCTTATTCCTACTGCTGTGTCCTCCGGCTGAAGCAGCTTTCTGTGGCCCGGTTTGACTCCAGATCTGACTCTGTGGTTATTGGCTGCAGGGAGGGATTCTTGCTCAATGGTGATTTTCGTAAAAATGGGCACTTCCCTTCATTCATAGTAATCTTTGGTTTAGCTGGGTCTGAGCTCCAGACGGGCAAAATGGCACGTAGACGATTTAGCCTCTGCCTGGTCAGTGACCCAGAGGCGCCTTCCTCTGCAGCCACTCGCTCCGTGGCCCGTCCACTCACCAGGACGCTGTCGCATAGACAGGAAGCTGCCCTGGCACCTCTGTGTCTTTGCCAGACACAGTGACGTACGAGAGGCTCGGGAACATTCTTGAGTCATAAGACGCTGTGGTCTACCTGTGGTTGTGGGGGAGAACCTTCCCTTAGGGGCTACACATTAAGAAACAGACATACCTGTAGCCACAGGGCACCCCGCTGAAGCCATAAGGTGCTACCAAGTTACGTTGAAACATGGGCAATGCATATACCGTCGTTTTTTGCAGGTGTCAATTGCAAATTTTGGAAATTACAGAACTTCAAAGAAGGGAGGGCCACTTATATATGTATAGCAATATTTTTAGGAGTCATGCCTTACTATTCAGGAAAACAACCAAAGTGCCAAAAAAATACCAATGTGGTGGCACCGAGTGTTGTTGTATAAGACACAGCCACACGTGGGATGGAGTCAAGGGACAAGGAGTGTAGCGGCAGGTTCTGGGGTGGGGGCAGGGGAGGGAGGGACAGAAACAGTTAAGAAGAAACCCAAGCTATCAGAGGCAGAATGTGGAACAGGGAAATCTCTCCCTGGCCACCCAGAGGGCATTAGCAGAGTAATTGACCATGTCAGTCATGGAGACTATGAGGTCAAATATTTATTCATTCTCCCAGTGGAAGTTTTCTCGTGTTTTAGTCATTTGACACTTGAAATGGCCTCTCCCTCTGATGCTGTATGTATGGCAGAGAACATGGCAGCAACATCAAACACCAAACCAGGTAGAAGGTACCAGCGTGCACGGGAGGATGCTAGCATTCAAAGTTTGCCACGAATAATGGCACACTATTTCCAGTTAGCTTTACGCAGGCCATTCTTGTTTATGCATCTGCAGGTTAGGACAAACGGGATTCCCCTGCCTGCTGTGATTTTATGTTATTTCAGGACAGTGGGGTTGATCTGGGAAGGGGATAGTTAAGACTGGACATGGGTCATGAATATACGCACATTGATGTGCCCTCAAAATCTATGGGAATGGCTTTTCTCATTTTGGTGAATTCTTCTCTCTTTTAGTATAGATCAGTGGTCGGCAAACCATGGCTCACGAGCCACATGCAGCTCTTTGGCCCCTTGAGTGTGGCTCTTCCACAAAATACCACGTGTGGGCCCGCACGTACAGTGCGATTGAAACTTTGTGGCCCATGCGCAGA